CCAAAGGAAGAATATTGGTACACAATTCACACAGATAAAACGCAGATAACACAATAATCTGAGGCAAAGAGTGTCCAGCACACGCTGATCCAAAAAGCCGCGACGTTGAATCTGTTTGTCCATTTAAATTGAGGTGCCCGACTAATGTTAGATGAGTGAGTGAAGCGTGGAACAGATTATCAAATTCTCTGCACCCATGACATCCTGAAGTGCCGTTAAACAGGGTTCCCGGATAGACCGTGAGCGCAGATGAATAGGAAAAGCTCGATAAACGGAGGCTAATGTCAATGCGACCAATCCAGTGATATTTCAATACATCCCGCGGTGGGGTACAAAATGGAGGCCGTGAGTAAGAGAAAAGTTGGATAAATGATGGACAACTGATACACATTTGAACAAATTTGAACAACCATTGGACACACTGCGTCTTAACATCGATGAGAAGTGAGAGAAAAAACTGTGGCTGAGGCGGAAGAAGGTAGTTTAATTGTATGACTATATCCAGTCGTTATTGAAGGGCTGTTTTGACCTAATAGTGACCGATCCTACTGAAATTATCTGCTTAAAGTGAATATCCCTCACAGTAGCACCTTTTGACTATCGTTTGGAGGCTTGAAAGAGTCGAAGGAATAAAGAGCTATTGCTTCAAAGTAGCGTTGCGACGACCTGCGTAAAGCTGCGGCTCGTTCTGATGTATAGTGTGGTGCTTTTGGGGGCCATGTGAGCTACTTCTACCAGATTAGTCAATAAGCGCATGTTGAACAAACATTGTCTCCTACCCCTAAGGTCGTGGACTAGAAGTGAGGTTTGCACTGTATTGCGTTCAGAGCCAAAGACTCCTAATGAGGACGGAGCATTCATCGGTTCACCAGATTGGGCACTCTGGTACAATCTCTGCTTCATTCATTCATTCGTTCACTAGACACGTAAGCTAGAGGTGAGAAACACCTCAGCTACAATACGTGAGAAAGGAAAACAGACGCAGTAGAGGTACGCCAGCTGAGCCAACGGCAACAGATGGTAATCGTTCCGGAGAGCTAGCAGCTGGCTATTGTGTCGAAAAAGACTATATTTTGCGTCAGAAATGAGATCGTGGTTGCAGAGCGACAAAAACCACACAACACAAACTCAACAAATTTATCCAGTCAAACGTGTTCATCGTCTTTCGGGCCCAAACGGGGGAGTTGAGGCTCCAACCAAGGCTAATTTCGTACGAAGGGCCTAGACTAAGTCATCGTTTGGCCTCAGTTCTTCTTCCATCCAGACCCCGATTGCGCAAACAACGCATGCGTGGGAGTCGGTGTGCTGGCATGCGCACCACGTGACACAGCCACCGGAGCCTGGTGCTGAGTGGTTCACTTCCTCTTGCTGTGCTATAAACAAGACGCCGAACACACTCGTTGCTCACACGGTGTCCTCACCAGATACAAGCCAAAGTGCGAAGGCGCCGGTGGTCGAACGCAACTAGCCTCTTTGGGTTTGCTGATCTAATGGGTCAGGTTTCATAACCGTACAGTAGGGGAGAACATAAGGCTGTATTGAACACCACCCCTCATGTCGCACTGGCGCCATAGGTGGCGAACGCTGACAAAAGGGTCTCGAGCTTCCAATATACTGTTCGTGACCTCGCCTTTGATTCCACGCGTGTTGATACAGCTGCCTAGGTGTTGGATTTCTGAACGGCTTCTAGCTAATCACCAGCAAGGGTCAGCGCAATAGGCGGTCCCAGCATTGTACTTTGAGAGTGCAAAGCAAAACCCGAAGCAATAGACAGCCAGTGCTGTGTCCAGAGCCGCTCAGCACGTTTGTGAGCTTTTACAGATGAGGGCAATGTCGTCGGCATACCTGGGAGCAGTTTCACATCTTCAGATCTGTGTCCAGTGAACGCCATCTTCATTTGCTTTAGTTTTAAAGGTGATATAATTGCTGACTTAAAGACAAGGAAACCGACAATGTTGATGACGAACACTTTTCCAGCTGCGGAACTGTGATGTACCTTCATCACCATCCCCGTATTCCTGTGTGCAACGAGGACAAACTGTAGAAACTGACCACTTACACTATCTATCGATTTGAGTGCACCAGAGGTGTAACATACATGGGTCGAACGGCTCGTCAATTGTTACTTCGCATTAAGGAATACAGTCCTAAATGGTTTGCGAACGGAGGCAGTGGATCTCTGACAAGCAGGATTTTGTTCCACTTATCAGAATCAGGTCAGAAAGTGGACTGTCAACCAGGCTCCCTTGAACTGAATAGTGAGAATAGGGAGCGAGAAGATAAAAATCTGTGTTGCTCCATCGCAGGTGGACTAGGCACTTGCGCGGAATCGCTGATTCGTGTGCGGTGGCAGCATATTGCAACTGCACTACACCTTATTCGGGTGCGATACGCTCCCTATACTTGTAGCCCGAAAAGTGGGCGTCAAGGAATCTCTTAAATTCCGACACCGATTTCGCCTCGACCAGTGTCCCCGGTAATTTGTTCTAATATTTCACCACTCGACGTTCGAAACATAGAGGGTGAATGATGTGCTTTAAATCCGGTACCACTAGTATGTATCGGTATACGCGTGTGCTGCTTGGTGCGCGAACGTGCAGCGGCGGCTTCAACATGGGAAAGTGACTCAGATGCAGTATCCGGTGCGTCTCAATGAGATTAACTCGAAGCCGAAGATATGACAGGGTATAAAGCCCTAGTCTCCTACATCGGCCCTCGTACAACATACCCCGTAAACTGGGGATGGGCTGGGTAGCTACATGCTGCACCCGTTCTAGTCTCTGCACCTCACCTATTGTGATCAAGAAATAAGTGGGTGAGCCGTATTCAAGCAGATGGGTGGCAATCTCTGCAGACCAAGTGTAGGAGCTGCGTATAAGCGCCCAAAGCAGGCATAGTCCGTTTGTGTACAGACTGTTCGTGTTGTCGACATACTTCAGATCACAGCATGACAACATGCCTAGATCCTTTACGGAACTGGTGGGATGCAGCGGGTGGCCGGTTAGGGTGTACGCGCGGCCATTACTACCCTTCCCCAGGCTCATAAAAGAGGGCTTGACTGGGTTGACCGGTAGGTCAACTTCTGCAGACCACCGGGATAGGCGGTCAAGGTCCTGTTGAAGGACGTAACAGTCGCCGGGAGAATCAATGATCTTTCAAATCTTCAGGTCATCCGCAAATAATACGCAGGGCGACCGAAGAAGCTGGGGTACTTCGTTGATGTGGATCAGGAATAAAATAAAGTCCAGTACAGTGCCCTGGGGTAGGCCGCTAGTAGAGTGGTACCAATCCGTTATGTGGTCATCCACCTGAACCTGCCATCTTCTATCGCAATAAGGAAGTCAATGATCCACTGGTGCAGTGCGCCACCAACACCACACATCCTCAGCTTGTGGAGCAGGACCCCGTGATTCACTTTATCGAAAGCTTTACTGAAATCAATGTAGATAACATCCACTGAGTTCCCTCGATTCAATGCTTGCAACCATTCCTGCCGCATCAACAGCAGGTTCGTGATGCACCAGCGGTCCTTCATGAAGCCGTGCTGTGCCGGCATTAGGAGATCTTTCGACTCCAGCATCTGGAGAAGACCATTTCTCACAATCTTCTCGAGCACCTTCGCCAAAACAGTAGTGAGACAAATCGGTCGGTAATTGTTCACATTGCGTGGGTTACCACCTTTCGGAATCAGTTTCACCACCCAGCATTTCCAGTCGCTCGGCAATTCACCTTCTAACAACGATCTGTTGAACAGATGCGTCACGTCAGGCAAGATGATGGACCATAAGGACTTCAAAATTAGCGGGTGAAGTCCATCGGGTCCGCCAGGTTTTGTGCCATCAAGACGGGCGAGTAGACCGCGGACATCTTCTGCACCGCAATCAAGGCCCTTCAGTACAGTAAGGGCTGCACACGTCGAGCTCGGTATAGGCGCATGACCACTTGTATGTGCGGAAGCGAAGTGCTCCGCCAATGCGGACGCACGTTCAGTGCTGGAAGTTAGAGGCTGTCCGCCAGTTCCCTCCAACACAGCTACATCAGTTGCGGGCCTCAGGCACCGCTTCACGTAAGCAAAAATGTTCTTGGGGCCGTCTTCGCTGAGGTTGTAAGCTCATCTTCGAACTGCCAACGCTTCCTGCTTTTGCGCTGTTGTATAGCTTCCGTTGCCTTTTGTACGCCTCATAATCGTCGGCAGAGCCAGAGATAAGGAATTTATTCCACAATTCGCGTCGCCGTCGAATCAAGTGACTAAACCCTCTGCCGAACCAATGTGGCTTCACTGGTCCAGCTTTCCGATACTTGAGGGGTAAGAAACGAGCGCACAACGATTGCACACCCACTTTTATAACAGACCAACAGGCTTCAACAGATGAATCCTGCGGCAGCGACCCGTCAACTTTACTGGCGGCTCGAGTAAGACCATTGAAGTCGGTCGTCAAATAATTGTAGAACGGCTGCGGCAG